TTTGTTTCATGTGTTTAACGATCACTTCTTTCTTTTAAGCAATCTATTCAAACATATTTTATTTTCTAAAACGTGAGTTATAATCTTATTTAAAACACGATCGTTAACTTAAATTTTAAAATATCTGCACTTAGGAAAAAAAAAACTAAGCTCAATATTTTGAGACTATGATATAATTTACCATGTTTCGGGCTCTATGGGACCGAAGCACTTGGTAATCGTTAGCGTACTGCTTTGATAATAATTTTGGTAAAATTAACAATAAATTATGAATTCATAATTTGCGATAAATGTTGGTATACGTAGTAAAAGTTCGTAGTTTTGGCATAATAACTTGAATCATGAAATAAATTTATTTGGGTATTTTTTTTCTTTCAATTTTGTGCTTTTTATTAAATGTGTGGTAATAAGAATTATAATTTTAAAAACTAGAATTTTTGGTAAACCGTATCGTATGAACGAAAAAATTGTCAAATGAATGGTTTAAATACTGTATATTTTGGTTTTATTAAAACGAATCATAGTTTTTATTTACCAGAACGGTAATTTTACCATCTTTTTTTCTCCGCGAATAATATAAAGACAATGATAATATATGCTCGGATTTTTAAAAAAAAAGTTTCATGAAATACTGAATTTTAACACCAATTATATTTATTATTTATATTGATTCCCAAAGCCAGTTTAAGTAAATTGAGTTCAGAATATAAGAATGATTGTTATATTCTGAACCTTACGTGATTATTTTATGATAATTAAAGATTCAGAAAGAATTCATATTTAATTTAATATTTTGAACGATAGTTGAAAGAAAAAAAATTCATAATTTATTGATAAAATGAATTTTTTATTAAATGAAGCAATTGATAAAATGAATTATTAAAATTAATTCAAATTTCTGTTATTTGTTTCAATACTTGTTTTAAGAATCATCGTCCCATTATGCTTAATATATATCATTGTACTAAAATATTATAATTTCAATTTTAAAATAAATTATCTTTTCTTAAATTAAAATAGTTCAAGTTTTAGAAAAAAAAGTATGTTTGGTTTATTGATGAAGGCGGAATATGTCAAGCTTAACGAAAATAAGAAGTTTCAATTATTAATTTATACATACATCACGATTAGGATCAAACAAATTTCAAATTTATATTATAAATAAAACATAAAATTTAAATTTAAAAATAATTTACTCAATGACAAAAAGCAGTTTGTTGGTGTAAAACTAAATCTGGTGATTTTCAGTTGTTGTATAGATTGCTTTCTTAAAACTTTCCGAAAATTCGAGAGAATATCCTTGTTTTCTATTAAAATACATTAGTTTTAAATTTAATTGATTATTTTCAAAAATAATGAAAATACTATTTATGTTTCAAAGAAAATAAATATTTTTCAATTCTGTTGAATTGAAGAGTAAGTGGATTGGAAGGAAGAGATTATTAAATTTAAATAATTAATTGATATGCTTCCATTAATTAAATTGCTTTGATCTTTGAAGAAAAAATACGTCAAATAATCAAAATTTGGTGTACTATCATTTACAAAAGTCCTTTCTTAAGTCTAGACAACCATTGAACTAATGCGGAGAAGCAATTTTTTTATTCCTTGTAATGCTTAGTTTTGTTTGACATAATTAAATTACCCATCCTTATTATTTTCACATTTGAAATATAAAAAAAAAGAATTTACTTTTCAGGAAAGAATTTGTTTGCTAAAAAATGCATATCAAAGATTCAATTATTTTAAGTTTTAAATGAATGGTATATCCTGGCAATATCTTTGAAAATAAAAATAGAATTTGAAAAATTCTTTAAAATATTCTATAAAAGAATTTTTCCTTCCATACTTGAGTGAACGGAATTGGAAATAAAATTTATTTTCTATTTTCAGTCATAAATCTTCTGTAAAATTATGATTGAAAATGATGAATACAAAGTTCCGATTACATTTATTATCCTTTATATTTTTATATTTAAGCACAGTAATAACCAAGTATTACGATCTCGAGGTTAAAAAAATTTTTCTGTGTTTAAAAGATTCTAATTCTAATTCTATGAAATATTGCTTTTTTTAAAAAATTAAATAAAAAAATCTTTTTTTTTCTTTTAATTTTCTAGTTTTTCTAAGCAGCTACAATTAAGATTCTTTAAACTAAAACATTGTCAGACTCACAAAATCAAACGTATTTGAAAAAGAAAACGAAAAGCTGCCTTAGGGAACCTTTATAATTCTTGAAGCTGATTAAGTTTTTAAAAAATGATTAAGTATAACTTTCCCTTCCACTTTCTTGATTTCGTTATATTCAACTTGGTTAATAGTAATGTTAGCATTGTGTAAAGCAATAGTTTTTAGAATAATTGAATACTTGTTCTTAAGTATTGGTTGAAAAAGTATCAACTACAGTTGTTTTTATTAAATTGATTTTGGATACACATATAAATAATTGTTATAAGCCCTTAATCTTTAGGATGCGTATTTAAAAGCTTGTTTTAAAGTAAATTTTGAATTTTACTGATTTCAAAATTTATAATTGCATATTAAAGTTTTCAAATGTTTCTTTTACTGTAGTTTAAATAAAACAAATATCTCAATAATATTTACACGCATTATGATTATTGATTTTGTATCAAAAACGTTTAAAAAATATTATTTCTGATATGATACACTTCTCTCCCTGCGATGATTATATAGAAAGTAAAAAAAAATGCTATCTAAGCATTAGGAAATAAATAAGTGGGTCTTGAACACTATTGAGGGAAAGTACTTAGTAATAAGTTTGAACCACATTATTTGTGTTTTTCGTCTACTTTTTAAGATTAAAGTTGTTGTTTTTTTGCTGTAAACCGAAAGTTACGGTTACCAAAAAGTTCACCTAAAACTCTTGTATTAAATTAAATGCTTAGTTTAGTTGCACATATCGAAAAAATTCTAAATTCATGTTTTTTGGATCTAACTCTCCCAATACTGAAAGTTTTAATGCCATTTTAACACAATGCGCATTTTTGTTTTATTTGTGTGATGTGTAAACAAATAATAATTAAAGTAACCAAAAATTAACTTAAACTACCAAATTTATCCTTTTTATAAAAAAAAACTCAAAATTCAAAAACAAGTTGAAGTTTTTTGAATGTATACAAAGTTTCCAGAATCTATGAAAATGCAAAAAAAACTTATCTGTAACTACTTTCATACAAATATGTCATCAAATTTGAACATAATATACATATTTAGTGTTCCATTAGTTTTATCATAGCTATTAAATTATTTTTCCTTTGAACGATTTACTGATTTTTACAGCAAACTAAAATTTATTAATCAAAAATATTTCAAAAAAAATTATATTAATGCAGATTTAGATTCTAAAATTAATAACAAACTTACTGCTGAGTTATTTTAGAGATTACTCATTGTCAAAGATTCTCCGGAAATAATAATCCGGAAAGAATATGTGAATTCAAATATTTATTCACACATTTCTTTCTTTTAATATATCTTATGTTGGAGGTTTAGTATAATTTACATCTTCGTTTTCTGATTAAATAATATTGCTCTACATTAGTATTCTTTAATGAGCTAGCATTCTTCTGTTGTTTTAACCAAACTTGATTTAGCAAAGCAAATTAATAATAGAAAACACAGTTTTATACTAATTCTATAAAGGCTAACAGAACTAAAAAAAATTATATATATAATAACAGGGCAACAACCCCGTTGTTTTTGGTAGTGTTTTTAACTTACATTAGTAGAAATTATAAGCCGATATATTTCAACAGGCTTTATTTATTGGAGTATGGTGTAAACAGAGGTCTCACCCGCTCTCCCAGCTGGAGGGGGGTGGACTAAAATCAAGACAGTAGCGATGAACCTTAGGTTGGCAACATCGTACAGCAAGAGTCACGCAGAAACAATCGCTCCTGCTTTAAATACAAACAGAAAATGAGGTAAAAAGGCTCCATCGTCGCATACCTTGTAACCCTACGCATTAAGGAAAAATCATTTAATGCTTTCAATAACACAAAAGTATTTATAATTTTTGTATTACGTATATATATATAATAGCATTAGAAAATTACAATATTTCATTCAAAATAATTTTAGTACATTGAAAATTTCATAAGTAAGATCCAAAATTCCTGATACAAAATTTATTTTTTATAATGCATTGATGTCTCGAAAAAAATGTAATGTATTTATAAATGATTTTAAAATGAAAGAAGAGCAGCAGAAAACAAACTTATCAAAATAAAGTAAAATAAAAAATGCGCAACAATTAGCTAGACTAATCTAACAGTTAATAAAAGTTGATCATAATAAGAAATATAATAATTGTGTTTTTAAGCTTTATAGTATCATATAATTGGTAAAAATATCAAATTAAAATTCAGTGCTGCCGTTTATGATTATGAGAAAGAAACTCCTAAAAAAGTAATAGTAGGAAAATTTAGGTAACAAAACTTATAACAGGAAATGAAGTTTATAAATTTCAATTAAGAATAGTATTTAAATTAAAAAATCATTAAAAACATTCATGGTAGCAATATCTGTTGGACTTTACATGCAAACACAAAATTGGAATATAATAATTTGCTAACTTTCCTTCTTTCATAGAATCAGAGTATATAAGACAGAACCTTCATAAATGGATAGAATGGAAAGATATTTGTTTTATTGTTATATACATATTACATATATTAGTCAAATAAATCTCAAAAGAAATTCTTATGTACAGAAGTTATGTCTATACATTATATTAGATCCATTTTTAAATTTATTCACTAAACTTCTATTAAATTGGAAACACGACAAATTGATTCAACCACGATGATCTTTTTACGCAAATTTTTAAATTCATTCAATAACGACACTTCCCAGATAAATTATGATGTAATCTTTTGGAGAAACAAATGGGAAGAACATTTAATACTCGGTGGAAGAACATTTTAATTCTAGAATTCTAGGTAAGAGCCAAAAAAAAAAAAGCAAAGAANCATAAAAATCGTTATAAACTATGAGTGTTATATTTAACACAAAGTGGTTACAAAGGAGTGAACAACATTCTGCATACATTTCGAGACACGATAAAAATTATAAACTTACCAAACCGAACTAATTAAGCGCTTTGTCATTTATATCAAATGGTGTGATTCATAAATTAAATTACATATAAACAAAGAAATGTTATAACTGACATTTACGAAAAAAAGGTGTTGATTTGCCAGCAGTGCTGCAAAGTGAACTGTTTATGAATCAAAAACGAAAATAACATTTTAATTTTTAAAAAAATGATAAAATTAATTTTAAACAATTACGTCTGGTGCAATATGAGCTTTTTATTTTCGAAAATGGATTAAACCATTTGACTTTGAAGTTAAAGGATAATTTAAATTTGTGTTATTGCTCATTGAGAACAAAAATTAATGAAATATGAAGTACAGTAAAAAATATCAACTCATGAGTGTGTGTACATACATTTTTGGGATTATACTAACTTCGTGTGGAATTGTAACACCAAAAGGTAAGACTACGTTCTTAAAGCATGAAAATACAATGATAAGTGAAAAAAAATAGTGCAATATAAATCTGTATATGATTCTGCGGTAAGATAACACAGTAATTTTCAGTATTTCAATAAAGAAAGATGATTTTTTGACACATAATGGGTATAAAATGAGTTTTTACAAAATTTATGTTTTTTTTTTTACTTTTTAAAATAATACGAAGAATACGTATTATGAATAGCTTTTAGTAGAGGCACCTCATAATTTCCAGACAATCATAGAGTTCATGTACAAAACTTTTTATCTACATTTTTTAGAAATTTAAAAATTTATCAAAAGTTTATAGGGACACAATATTTTTAGCATTATATTTTGAAAAATATTCATCGATCCATAACGTAATTTTGGTAACATATAATCAAATAAATTTTGAAAAAAATTACTGTTTAACTTCTGAGGTAGTTCCCAATTATTTGTCAAAATCGTGAAGCAATATTTCCTTCAGACATTCTAAATTACTTATTTATTTTATTGAAATGTGTTATCAAAATAAATTTTTTTTCTACATTTCGACTAATAATTTTTTGTGCTTTGAATTTATGTATATTGCTATATATTTTTTATTATATCTCAATATACGTTTTTCGATACATTTAGTAATTAAAATATTACTATAGCGTTAAAGTTTAAATGCGCGGAAACTAGTCTTCATTTTCTTTTTAGTAACATAGCAACTAATGAAACAAAAATATTTAATTGTTTTAAATTGTTTTTATTTCATATTGAACAATGCCAGACAAGTCAGTTTATTTTTAACAAACATTATAAAGATATATAGAAATCTTTCATTATATAAATGTAACTTTATATTTTTAATAAAACATATCATGCAATTGCTTAAACATTTTTATATTATGTTTAAAAATATCTTGTGCTTAAATGCAGTCTTCCATAAATAAGGAATGTTGCAAGATTTTAGATATGCAGAGAGAAATTATTTTTCAATATCAGTAAGTAATTTAGCAGTATGCCTAACTACATGCAAATTATTTGTGTTAAAGGCAAATTATTTGTGAATAATTTTTATTAATAGTAGGAATTTTCAAGTAAACATTATGACAGTATTTTTAATTATGCTTAAGTAAGTTTTTATTCCATTTTTGGGGAATTCTTCCTTATACAAAATACGAATTATTTGGTTTTTCATTAATTTATATATGGATTCTTCTTTTTCAAATTTTCTAATTTTTTCAATTCATTCCATTCATATTTTTGTTTTATAAAAAGATGAAAGTAAGTTTTTTTTCGTAAAATAATTGAAAACGAATGTGTTTTCACATATTTTTACAGAATAAAAAAAAATCAGTTGTTGAATGAATTAGAAAAAAAAATTCGTTGCATGAATTAAAATAAAACTATTGTTTGTTAAATAAAAACTAAACCGTAAAAACTAATTTTTAAATTTGAAAAGTTTACTTTATTTAAAAATTGTTTTAATTTTTTTGGAATTAAAAATCAATACAACACAAAACAAAACAATAAGGCTAGAATCAAACACCACAAAAGAAATAAAATGAAAGAACGAGCAGAGCAATTTGGATTGGAATTTTATTTTTCTTATAACTTTAAACAAATAATAAAATATCTTGTAGCTTGCCCTTTTTAATATTAAATAAATAAAAATATTTTATATGTCAAATGATTAAAAATTTATTTGATTTCATATTTTATCATTGTCTATGAGAGGATGTTAAAATGTTCATTGCTTACTAGACTACGGAAACATATTTTACACAAAACTATAGTTTGAAATTGACTACTTACAAGTTCTAATCTTCCTAAAATATATTCCTATTTTTATCCGTTTTAGTACATACCAAATCATAGTCGATCGTAGTTTCGCTTCGTAGTTCATATCATTTCAGTTCATAGTAAGTTTATACAGCTAAGAAACAAATGTATCAGAATACTAGTGAACTGTATCTATCTATTTGAGGGGGAAACAGTGGGGTGGTAAGTATACATTTCAAAAGCCTTACAAAGTATTAAAATGTGTAATTCAAAGTGGAAAAAATTAATTATACTTAATTGAAAATTTTTCTTGTACCCATCCAAACTAGACCATCCTAATTAATCAAAGTTTACGTTTTGTCAGTTTACAAGCTGATAAATTAAATTTGCTTTTGCACATTAAGACTACCCCCGTGAGAAGTTAGTAACTTTAATTAACTACCATTTGGATTTTGCTGCATTTTAGTTTCCTTTTTTTCGTTTTTTTCTTCAACGCATATATAGCTGTATACTTGGTATTGTCAGAAAAGAACTGACAGACTTTCATTAATTCTGCCCTTCAGACTGTTATTTATAACATGGCTAAAGTTCTAGTTAGCTGTATTTTTCTAACAGATTAAAATGTATTTTCCCCCGATTTCAATTTTTCTATTCAAAATAGTGTAAAACTGTAATGAATGTTATTTACCTGCTGAACAATAGACTTTTCAGTTTTTCTTTTATATATTTGTTATTTAGTTTCATTTGATGTTTTCCCCTGCTTGTAACTGATTGCCATTTCAGAAGTCTTTGTGTTTTTATTTTCGTGTCCAAAATTTATTGTATTTACTATATTTAAAGAAAGTCTTATTAGTCTCTTTATGTACAGTGTGTCAAAAAACGGACCACTATGAATGACTTTTAATCTAATCATCGGATCTTCACGTTCTAGGACTCATTCTTAATGCTCCAAAAAGGGTGACTGCAAGTATGCTAATTAATTAGTGCAGACGATATTTTAAATTACGAAATAAGACACAATTAAGTACTTTCTCTGAATAAACATAGTTTTTTTTTCAGCTGATTTGGATTTCTGACCCACAAAATAGAGGGAAATGAATCTGGGAAACTTTTGGTCCAAAGTTTGGATACCTTAATATTAATTTTACTTTTTACATATTTTACCATATCGCTTGATCTTTTTAAGCAAATTGAAAAACTTTTGAACTCGGTTATAAAATACATATATCCAAAGATAATTCCATGCAGAAAAAAGTTTTAGTAAATAATTATAAATTTTTTTAGTTTTATTATATAATATTCGAAACAAAATTTGAATTGTAAGGTATACAATTTTTACGTCATTTTAAGGAACGAAATTTTAAATGGCAAATTACAAAATTGGTTCAAAACTGGTTGAACAGTTTAAATATACGAATTTTTTTAAAATTCGATTTCTCAGGACTAAAACAGTCGATTTTGCTGACATTTTGTATTGTGCTATATAAAATTTAAAAAATGTCAAAATTTACTTTGAAAGTGTGTAAACAATTATATACCTTACAAATGTTTTCGACTAGCATTAAATAAAGTATTAAAAATCATAAATAATAACTGGCATTTTTTGCTTGGAATTATCTTTGGATAGATAAATTTTGTAACTGTGTTCAAAAATTTGTCAATTCGTTTCAAAAGTTCTCCAGTTATGAGGAACTACTCAAAAAATAAAACTAACATTAAGGGGTCTAAACTTTGGACCAAACTATTAGGACCGTATTTCTCAGATTGCAGATACTCCCTCCCCCCATATTTTGCATGTCAAAAATCCGAATTCATCGTAAAAAGGGTGTATTAATTCTGAAAAAGTACGTTTTTTGTTGTCTGAGTTTGCAACTCAAAATATCATCTACTCTAATCAATTAGCATATTTGAGGTCATCCCTTTAGAGCATTAAGAATGAGTCCTAAAACTTGAAGATCCAATCATTGGAGTAAAAGTTATTCTGGGTGGTCCATTCCTTCGGTTTGGAGTTCGGTTATATAGTTTTAACCACCATCTATTATAACATTACATTTCACCATTAACATTAAACAAAATATTAAATCACCATTAACATTAAACTAAAAATTAAAATAAGCAAATTATTATTTATTTTATTCCTTTTATTTTTTTAAAATAAGTGTTTTCAAGTTCTAAGAAATACACATTAACGTTTAGATTACCAATAATAATCCAATTGTAGTCATAGTAAATAAAAGTTATTTAAAATATCATAATTCAACAAATATACTTAAGGTTTTGTTCCGTGCGTTTTATAATTTGTTCCCTTTCTAATAATAGTTTAGAAACTCTTATATGTAGACTTGAATAATCTAATTTTTGAAAAATATTTAAAGAGAAAATAAAATGAAAAAAAAGGAGCCATTTGTGTGTCTTAAACAAAACCAATGTTCATGTTTACTCTTATGAAAATATGCTATGCAAAATTTTGCAAAAAGATCTAGCTTGCAGGCAAATATTTTATCAAATAAATGAAAGCAGTTGCCATTAAAATTGTAGAAAATGGTAGCTTTGTAGCCTGTGAATAAAAAATTTTGTTCGTAAAGACTATTACTAAGCACCAAATAGAATCACTTAAAGAAGTGAATACATTTTTCAGACTTTAATCAGCAAAATTGAATCCATATTGATATCATATGAAATATAAAATTTTTAAAAGTTATAGTTAGACTTCCCTTGAATTAGACAACATCAGTTAAAATTTTTATTTAAAATTGACTGTATTTTTCATTTTATTTTTTACAAAATATATTTGGAGAAAAAATAATTTTTCAAGGGAGTTTTCCGTTTTTCGATACTTTTTAATATATTCATTTTATATCTTGTCAATGTATGTAATTAAGCTATGTCTGGATAGGGTGTCTTATAAAAGTTCTTATATACAACATAATGCCTAGTCAATGTATTGTTTAATACGGCGTTTTCATTTTTAAAACTATAGCTTTTTCGAGTATTTTGAAATGTCTATTTATGTAACACTTAACTGAATATTCATCGAATTGAAAATTTAACAGGAATGTGAATTTTGTTTCCCTATTACTTTAAAATATAATTCCATAGATGATATTTTTGAATTTATTTTGAAATATTAGATATTTTTGACAGATATTTTGAAGAAATAAAAATACTTAGTTCAGTTAATAAAGTATACGGATTGCCAACATGTTGTACTATTTTTATCATACAA